GGCAGTTTTTGTTACATTGATTTTTTTTCAGTGGAATATTGCACTTTAAGTTCAGTTAAGTTCTCATGATCTTTCAGTGTAAATTAAAATGCAAACAAGTTTAAACAACATGCTGAAAATAATGATTTAGTCCAGACAATAGAATAAGGATAGCTGGATAACATTATACAGAACTCCTACCTTTCTCTTTTTCTGTAAAATTCCCAGTTTCAATGTGATTTTATTTTAATAATACACTCAGTTGATACTGAGGAGTTGGATTTCCCCCATAGTCAGCTACCAATCAAAGTCTTGAGTAAAACTTCACCCAAGGGGAAATTAGATCACACTAGAACCATATTTTCCCCTTTCTTTTTCAGAGTAGGATTTTTTCAATACTGATATTTGGCTAGTCAACTGATTTTTAAAAAAGAAATAGAGTGTTTTCAATGAAGAATTGTTCTAATTTCGAATGAAATTTTAGTATGAAAAAACAAGAGGCACAGCTATTGCAAACAAAGGATTGTTCCCTCAACCCCAGCAATGTTATAATAACGTTTCGTCAAAGGTCAACATGTCTAAAGAAATTTTTTACAATTGCTTCAAAACTTTGTGTGGTATGAAGTCAAAACGATTACAGTTTTTAAATATATCACTGATTAATAGATAATAAGTATTACTTGTTAACAAATATTTTTAAAAAGATATTTTGTGAAAAATTCTATCAGAAAATTTGGATATTTATAGGAAAATGCACCTGCTTAATTCTGTTCTTTTTGTGAACACCAAAATTGTAGAAATAATATATGTTTATCATTGAAGGGCAAGTTGGACGTGAATGGTCTCTGAAAGCCTGTTATTGAAAGCATGACATGTATAAAGACAAGACCCCTATAGAATCCGCCATTTGCAGTGTACTTCCACTTTCAAGACTTAACATGTGGAAGAAATAAACAGGGAAAACAACTTTCAAGAGGCTATCCAAGTCCAACTTGCCCTTCATTGATAAACATATTTTGTTTCTGCAATGACCTTTTTCACTAAAAGCACAGAATTAATTAGGTGTTTTTTTTTTTTGGAAAATATATGCATTTTTAAGAAGAATTTTTCTCAATTACTATTATTCCAAGTATTGTTTTTTATCAAATGATACTTTCTATCTGTTAATCGATAACAAATTTATCAATTGTACAAGTTTTATCTTTATACCTTACATAGTTTTTGGGCTATTGTAAAAAAAAATGGACATGTTGACCTTTAACGAAACCATAGATTTAAAAGATAAGAGCTATTTTCTAATCCAGTTTTTCTCCTACAAAATATCCTTGACTTGGGTCCATGAAATATCAACCATTATGATATTTGAACCCCTTTTGATCAAAGTTTGGCTGATAATGATTCATTTTTTTTTTTTTGAGAAATGAAACAATGAAAAAAATAAAGAACCTAAAAAAGACCTGAACTGAGCCTCATCTACAGGGGAGGTAATAGAATTTTGCAGTTTTTTTTCCTGTAGATTGAACACAATGACTGTCCAATGGAAAAAGTCAATACATCAAGTTATAACATGCTGAAACAATCATTCCATCGACAGAAACATGCCAGACTAACAAAAAACAGAACTCCTACCTTCTTCTTTTTCTGTAAAATTCCCAAAGTTAATGCGATATATTATTTAAATAACAAATTTAGCTGGTATATAAATGGTAAATATTATCATCTGAGAATGCATGTGTTATTAAATATAAAAATATCGTAAAAAGAATAAGTATTTTCATGCATTGCCAAGCTATTTCTATGAAGCGATCAGCTGCTTTGAAGGTATTTTTTTTTAATTTACTAGGAGAGTTCTCTCTAATAAATTTGGGTTAGTAACCATCGTACACTGTCCATATTTATACTATTTTGACTCATCATACATTTGGTTTCATGTACATAAGATCTCTTAGGGGTACAAAAAAAATTAACTTTACAAAGATCTAATATACTCCATACATTATTAACAATGGGAATATTTTTGGAATCTGTTTTCTTGTGCATTTTTTTTTATTCATTCTTAAAATAGAACATTACTGTCTGTTAATAACAATTAAAATTGATGATACATTTTTTAAGGAAAATATTCACAACACTTCAATCACTGGGACAGCTGTATGTATTTTACCTCAAAATTCATAGCAAATAAGCAGCTGGCCCCCTTCTTCTCGCAGACCATCTTCCTATGCCAGAGTCGTCGCCGAACCATGTCCATGGTGTGTTCAGTGTGGTGGAACTTAGAATTAAACAAGGGAGCGTACTCCCAGCCTTCTGCGGCTTCCTCCATCTTCTTCTCCTAAAAAAATCAGTCAGAGGTTAAAAATTGGTCATTTAACTGACTTGCTTAATTAAAGGTATCTTTTCCCTACTGAGATATAACTGTAAGGCTTAATGAAACCATTACAAACAGTGGAATAGTTAATTTATAACTAGCAGGACTGTTACAATTCTAAAACTCGTACCATCGTCCATTAGGTCTGATTTCAGAATAATTGCTTATCCATCAACTTCTCTCATTATTTTTTCTTTACCTTGTTAAAAGATTGTCATTTACTGTTATATCATTTTATACACTTTGTCCTTTTTTTCTTTTAAAATGGATTTTCAAAAGATTATATTTCATCATACATTCTGATTCATGAAATGTACAACTTAAAATATCCACAAACAAAATTTTCTTGAAAAATACTTTTTTTCATAGCAAGGAAATTGATTCATGCTTGAAGACAAAAAAAAAATATTTAAATTTATGAAATTAATCAAAGAACATCAATTATTCAGTGACATTCAGAATTACTGCATGCTAACTAGCTTATCAGGAAGACAACGGCAATCGAAGGATTAGAATAGAGTCAGGTTTTAATCTACCTTAAAATAGATTTCTTTAAACAAATATTGGAGATCCTACTTTTTGTAAAATACAAACAAGATGCCCATTGGCCACATCGCTCACCTGAGAAGCTTTGACCTTTCTGTTCTTTACCAGATTTCCCCCCTTGTTATGCATAATGCATCCCCACCCTACCCCACTGATCATAATTTAGACATTTTGAAATCTACACTACCCCCATGATCCTTCCATGGGCACAAATGTTTCAGCTTTTCTGGCCCAGTGGTTCTTGAGAAGAAGATTTTCAAAGATTTTTCCTATATATTTCTTTGTAAAACTTTGATACCCCATTGTGGCCCCGCCCTTCCCCCGGGGGTCATTATTTGAACAATTTCGAATCTACATTAATCCGGGATGCTTCCACATAAGTTTCAGCTTTTCTGGCCCAGTGGTTCTTGAGAGGAAGATTTTCAAAGATTTTTCCTATATATTTCTGTATAAAACTTTGATACCCCATTGTAGCCCCGCCCTTCCCCCGGGGGTCATGATTCCAACCATCTAGAATTTACACTACCCCAGAATGCTTCCACATAAGGTTCACTTTTTCTGGCGCAGCGGTTCTTGAGAAAAAGATTTTCAAATATTTTTCCTATATATTTCTATATAAAACTTTGATTCCCCATTGTGGCCCCGCCCTTCCCCCGGGGGTCATGATTTGAACAATTTAGAATCGACACTACCCCAGGATGTTTCCACATAAGTTTCAGTTTATCTGGCCCAGTGGTTCTTGAGAAGAAGATTTTCAAAGATTTTTCCTATATATTTCTATATAAAACTTTGATTCCCCATTGTGGCCCCGCCCTTCCCCCGGGGGTCATGATTTGAACATTTAGAATTTACACTACCCCAGGATGCTTTCACATAAGTTTCAGCTCTACTGACCCAGTGGTTCTTGAGAAGAAGATTTTTTAATGACCCAACCCTATTTTACTCTTTTCTTGATTATCTCCCCTTGCGAGGGGATATGTCCCTTCATTTTAAAAATTTAAATTTCCTTTTACCCAAGGATGCTTTGTACCAAGTTTGGTCAAAATTGGCCCAGTGGTTCTTGAGAAGAAGTCGAAAATGTGAAAAGTTTACAAGACGGACAGACAGACGGACGGACAGACAGACGGACGGACGGACGACGGACAAAATGTGATCAGAAAAGCTCACTTGAGCCTTCGGCTAAGGTGAGCTAAAAATGGTAACAGAATGACAGATTGTCACAAATATATTTTTTGTTAACAAAATACTGTAAATTGTTTTAATTCCGCGGAGTTAAAATTTCACGATATCTCAAATAGTTCCAATTGCGATGGTTTTAATTTCACGCAGGAAGAAATTAATTCAAATTTCGTATAAGCATTTAAACGTACTTAAAAACTAATGAAGGCATTCACGGTGGGTTTTATTTCGCGGAAAAATATTAAATCGCGAACATAGCGAAAATAAAACCATCGTGATTATTTGACAATCTTCAGTATCTTACAAATATTTAAATGCAACACTGCATGTATAAAACTTTATTCATAGAAATACTAACATTTAAAGACATTCGCTAAAACTTACTGAGTGCAGGGATATTTGCAATGAACAATCAAACAGTCATTACATCAAACTAGCAAGAGTGTTAATAAAAAAAAATCAAAATCATGCTGTAAAGAATATACCAGTCTGTGCTGAAATAAATGAGTATAGAAAATATCAACTGGTTCTTACAGAAATTGATTGAATCTTATAAACCTCTACTAACAAGCTTAAAGTGAGGAACAAATATATGTGTGAATCCAGTACAACTACCAAGTTCTTGTTTCTACATGTACGTAAAATTAGCTTGAAATATTAAACATTGCTCAGATAATAAGATTTTTCCTGGTCTTCTTATAGATAAACTAATTTAGCACAATTCTCAAATTGAAATATATCCTCATTGGTTAAGAAATTAATAACATCAGGAACTTAAAATTGTTGTTGACAATAATGACACAACTTAAGCCCCAACTCTTTGCCCTACCAGATTAATGAAAGTCCAAGGTTTGCTGAGAAATGTACCTACTAGTATTCATAATAAGAGTTATGTTTTTCTATGACTTGTGAATGACCTCAATTCGCTATGTGGCTACCTTGTGTTTCTTTTGTTTGGCCTCCTCCACCAGTTTTCTGGTCCTCACCCACCGCCGCCGGCGACAGAGATGGTATTGCTTCTCCACTGGACCGTATCCCCCCTTGGTGGCCTCTACACGGTACTCCCATCCGTCTTCGTCCACCGCGCGGGACAGGTCAATCTGCCACACATCCTCCCAGACCCACCCCGGGGTTAATAACACCGAGTCCTTAGGGGGCATCTCATCACCTTTCTACAACAATCAACACTTATTGTTTATAGACAATTGTATCACAGTGGGAAAATCAAAACATTTTATCTTTGATAATTTCCTTGTGAATTCAGAAAAACGAGTACAGGAAAACCTTTTTTCACTCAATGGCATATTCATTGAAAACTATCTTATCCAAAATCCTTGCATTTCATTTCACTGAGAATTTCAAATCTTATTTTCATTTCCATTTTACTCTTTCTTTGTTCGGAGTCTTTACACTGTGTAACCTGTCTATCCCGACTGAATTGTGAGATATAAACAACTTGATGGAGATACTTAGTTAAAAACTGACCACATCAGTCCACGGCATGGCAGCTGGTTCCCAACTTGTAGCTGGTAGCCGAGACTGCATCTCGTAACATTCCTCCATGTAAGTCTTGTGACCCGCGTCCTTGTCAAACAGCATACTGAAATTAAAAAAAAATGTCCTTCTTATATCAACCATACACTGTCGTGTTAAATATTAACAGAGCTCTCTACTTAATTATCTGTGCGTATATAACACATCTGTGGCCACTACTCACCTGAGCTCTGAACTGATGTACCAATCCCCCTCCCAACTACACTATATGTATATACATGTAACACACCTGTGGACTCTCACCTGAGCTCTGAACTGATGTACCAATCCCCCTCGAGCTCCCACTACACCATATGTATATAACACCTGTGGACACTCAACTGAACTCAAAACTGATATACCAATCCCCTCCCACTACACTATATGTATATAACACACCTGTGGACACTCATCTGAGCTTTGAACTGATGTACCAATCCCCTCCCAATACACTATATGTATATCACACACCTGTAGACACTCACCTGAACTCAAAACTGACATACCAATCCCCCTCCCACTACACTATATGTATATAACACACCTGTGGACACTCACCTAAGCTCAGGACTGATGTACCAATCCCCCTCCAACTACACTATATGTATATGTTACAGAAACTATGTGAAATCAGGAATTTCATGTATTTCCTAAAACATTCAGTAAATGCATGTATTTACTGGCTGTTTTAGGAAATACATGTAATTACTGAATAGCTAGGAAATTCGTGTATTTACCGAAAATTTTAGCCAATTTTACACGATTTACTGAACAAAGCAGGGTGAATAATGTATGCATATCTTTTAAAATCTTCAGTAAACATACAAATGCTAAAATTCTTTTTTTTAAAGCAGCATTTGATAAACATAGTTCTACAAAGCTGACGTTTTGCATTAATTTTGAATTCCTTTATTTTACTTCTTATGTAAAAGAAGTTTCTAATATTCACATTTCAAAAATATTTTTAAAGAAGCTATGAATTTAGATCATTCAGCATCAGAATAATGAATTTAAAAAAGTCTTTAAATACTTTTATTATAACATTTATAAAAATGTACGAATTGTAAATGTGATATATGGGGTACTTCTGTTTATTCGAGTCTCACATCTTCAAAATTATGGTAAAATAGATATGTTTTGCAATTTTTAGTTAATTCAAACTAATTTTTTTTTTAATTTAAACTATTAAAATTGTTAGGGTGGAAAATTCCTCAAATTAAATTTTAATTTTAATTCCTGACTTTAATTTCGTTATATTATGTGTATTTTACAAGGGGAGGGGTGGGTGGTTTGTTGCATTTTTGAGTAGACAGCATAATTTTTTTTTAATTTGTAAAAAGATGCTTCAGGGTTTTAAATTTACTGTCAAAAACTCTAGCATTGTATGAATATATAATAAAATAAGAAATGCCAGTAAGCAATTTTACTTTTTTAAAAAAAATATAAAAAAAATAGTTGAAATAATTGTTAGTTAAAGTATGATGTGATTTAGAAAACACATTCCAGTAAAAAGAAAAGCAGAGTATAATTACCGGTATATTTTAAGTTAAAGCCATACATGGTGTATGTACAATGAAAATTATTAGACTAAAATCATAAGAACTTATTAATTGTATCATTACTTTTTATAAAGATAGACCTTTTCCGTAAATTACTAAATCTAAGTCAATTGCGTTATAAAGATATCACAATTTAATTTGGATTCTCGGAAATTTCTCCGACTCGGAAGAAAATACAAAAGATTTAAATAACACATTACAGAGAAGATAAAATCGTATTATTAGATGAAACGAGGTGTTCTCCGTGTTCAGAATTGTATGAAAAGCTTTAATCTAAATGTATTAACTTTATTTCTTTACTTAATTTTGTATTTTTCAAAAATATATTTTTTTGATCAGTTACGCCATATATGGTTTAATATTTACAAAAATACATTTTCAAAATTTAAGCATAAATAAAAATTTATTTCAAATATTATTTATTCACATATGGTATGCTCACTGATATGAACATTGATTATACTGTGCATCTATTCATATTTTATGATTCAAATTTTAAATTATCCCACAAAAACGCAGTCAGTAAATATGTGTAAAAAGTATTGAAAAGTTCAGTAAATACGTGTATTTCCTTACTGAAATGAAATACGTGTATTCCCTCAGCAGAATAGGTATTTCATGTATTTCCTAAAATTCAGGAAATACGTGAAATTTCTGGTTACACATATTTACTGTAACATATAAAACACATTTTTGCCACTCACCTGAGCTCTTGACTGATGTACCAATCCCCCTCCCACTACACTATATGCATATAACACAAATGTTGACACTTACCTGAGCTCCGGACTGACGTTCCAATCCCCCTCCAGCTACGCTATATGTCTATAACACATCTGTAGATCCTTACCTGAGGCAGGACAGACGTACATGTACCAATCCCCCTCCCACTACACTTTATGTATATAACACACCTGTGGACACTTACCTGAGCTCAGGACTGACGTACCAATCCCCTTCCCACTACACTATATGTATATCACACACCTGTGGACACTTACCCAAGGTAAGGACTAGGGAAAAACCCCTCTCCCACTACACTATATGTATATTACACACCTATGGACACTTACCTGAGCTCTGGACTGACGTATCAATCCCCCTCCCAATACACTTTATGTATATAACACACCTATAGACACTTACCTGAGCTCTGGACTGACGTATCAATCCCCCTCCCACTACACTATATGTATATAAGACACCTGTGGACACTTACTTGAGCTCAGGACTAACGTACCAATCCCCTTCCCACTACACTTTATGTATATAACACACCTGTGGACACTCACCTGAGCTCTGGACTGACAAACCAGTCTCCCTCCCACTACACTATATGTATATAACACACCTGTGGACACTCACCTGAGCTCAGGACTGACGTACCAATCCCCTTCCCACTACACTTTATGTATATAACACACCTGTGGACACTCACCTGAGCCTTGGACTGACATACCAATCTCCCTCCCACTACACTATATGTATATAAGACACCTGTGGACACTTACCTGAGCTCAGGACTGACATACCAATCCCCCTCCCACTTCCACCCCTGGGGAGGACAGAACATCTCTCGGGGGAGCTTACACTGAAATATATCGATAAAACAATTATATACCTTAATTAACAGGTTTTTATTGATTATAAGAAAAAAACCGCATAACTGATAATATATTGGACATGAATGAATACAATTGACATTAATCATCTTTTAAGAGTTACCTTTCCCTGACTGTCTGACCAGTTTGGTCGTCCAAGAGGTCCTTTCTTTGTCCATCCCACCTCTGGCGAGTTACACTCATTCTCATACTGTTAATTAAACCACAAGAATCATATTCATATACAGACTTGCTCAGAAGCATCCAAAGAGATAAAGAACAAAGGCCAAACATATCTGACAAGACAATTGAAAACCGAAACTCTTTAGTTAAAAGACTTCTTTATCCTGTAATATGTTCTTTAAATATTATTTCTGCAAACTATTCCTAGCCTTGATCCATGTTTTAAACTTGAATTAGATGTCAGTATAAACACTTACAGTTTCAGCAAAGACGGCCTGTTTCCCTTCTGTCTGCATGTGATGCCAGGCGTCGTCCTCGTTAGCAAGACCCAGCCAGATCTTCACATGCACCATCGCCGGAACCTCACTTATCTTCTCCTTCTCTGCCTTCACGCCGGGATACTGAAAGTAGTAATGAGAGTAGGTAATAAATAACATAGTGACACAAAAAAAATCACCGAAATACTCTGTACGTATGAGCTTATATCTATGTCACAAGAAAAAAAGAAGTTACATCTGGAGAGTTTAACTTCTGTGAGATTGTAAAATGTGGACTAAATGGTTGCTAATAACACTTAACGTTTGATGAATCATGTTTTTAATATTACTTGAGCTAGAAAATTCACTGATACACATAATCAACCCTACTAATGTGTTCGGAACCTTTTATTTTTCGGTGTTCTGCAAATTATAAATCCCGATGAGTTAAGAGTAGCTCTGGAAGTGGCTCTGTCGAGAGTTAGCTAGACTTCAGCAAGATAGATTAATTTATGCACGGAAATGTGGCTAGGAAGTGACTAGAACGTGGGGACATGGAAAGCAAAAAAGTTATGTTGCGTTTCAATTTTCACCACCCTAGAATGATCTGATACTGATAATGTCTGTAGAAATGTACTTTAATCAATCTATCTCTCTTACATTCATTCAAACTTAAATAGGTATATTCTCTATAATACAATTTTCTGCAGTCATGAGATTGAAATTTTTTTTGGACAAATATTTTTGCATGGGAACTGGGACTATATTTTTTGGCGTCAGATTAGCAAATGAGGCACCAGCATGATTTTAACTGACAAATCAGATGAATGAGTATTGCATTATGGGTTACTACGAATACTACAGGAATTTTACGCTAGAAAAAAGGAAAATCTTTTGGTAAATGAAAAGCAGTTTTATAAATATTATTTTTTTTAGATGAGGCGAAGCAAGAGAAGATTTCAATAAACGGTGGAAGTCTAGGTTTCAGAAAGTCATACTGCAAAAGCGATTTGCGTCTGTAATAATTCCTTTGTTGTACTATCGGTGAATACAATCGTCAGGTGGATTCCCTGCCCAAACACGTGATCACGAACGAGTTTTGTCCATTTAAATCCATAAGAGATGCTGCTCGTTTTCCTTACCCTTGAAGCGCTGGTGTTCTGAACTAGACACAAACTACATTTATTAAACATTTTTTCCAGTAAACAACAAATAAAACACTCCTGTAACATTTTCAATAAGTTTCTTATATTTATATTTTGTTTTTAAGAATTTTTTTTTAATTTTGTATTCCATTGACATGATCATAGATTGACCTGAACCAGGTGTACTTGCTATTCAACGAATGGTCAGTTGTTCGTGGTAAGATCCTCTGTGTGTATTCATAACAATAGCCATGTAAGGCAAACAAAGGTTTGTCAGTGTAGATGATAATACATATTTTATTACCAGCGAATCGGTCATTAGTGAGCTTTTTTCTCGCCGAAAAGTGTAAGATATATTGTTATTTTAACACCCCCTCCTTTAGCAACCCCTTTTCTGTTGAAAATCCTGAAAGTCTTTCAGAAAGGTCTGGAAACATTTACTAAACGACACGTTTTCAAAAGAAACAAGCTATAGCAAAATCCTGTATGCTGCCAATTTTATTTATAAAACCGGTTCTACCCTATAACTTTTGAATAGATCAACCTAAACCACGTGTCTTGAATTTAAATCACAATACCATTAGTGGGGGTGATAATATTCCTGTTTTTCAAATCTTATTTTGATACGTACATTTTTGGGAGTTGAACTATGATCAATCTCCCATGGTCATCACGCATTTAACATGCGCAGTAATTTGTGTTTATTATATAGAACCGACAGCGAGGCTACTGTGTCGACCGATTTACTCCGATGATATTCAACAGAAAAGATGCATAAACATCCGCCAAAAATAGTTCATGTCATTTTCTCCTTAAATCTAATTTTCATAATGTAAGTAAATGTAGTGATAAAGTAATCTTATTTTGATTATTACATTTCGTCCAAAGTAAAACTAAACTATAAAGGACCTCAAAAGTTTTTCGTAATGGAACTAATTTTTAGTGTAGCGTCATACGCTGAAAGAGATACGAACGACAACTCTACATACTGACGGCAAGCGTTGAATCTAGTCTTTCCGACGCCCGACGGTACCAGATTTTTAGTATTGCTTTTTTACCGGTGCACAGAATTTATTCAAACTTTTCATGAACATTTTCTTGGTTTAAAGGAATTCATTTATGCATAACAACTTTAGGAAACATGCGTATTTATTACTAGAACAGCAAAATTACCTGCCAAAAGCGGTAAATCTAGTACTCTGTTGTAATTTTAAAACCAAAAACGGACATCGATGTTTTCGTAAAATCGCGATTAAAAAAATTAAGTGGGTTTTTTTTGTATTAATAAAAGGAAAACTTCATTTACACACCAGATAATTTGTACGCACACAAACTCTCACATATACCATTGTTTTTATGTTTGGTCATTAAATATTTGTTTTTAACTTTGTATTGCATTATTTTTCTTCACAATATTAAAAAAGATTAAGTTCTGAAGTATTCCATGTATAATGTTCGTGTAATATAAATACATTTATATTCAAAGAGAAGTTATATATCATAAATCTGTTAGCTCTTAAAAGGATGCTGTGTTAAAATCCACATTTTATTTACACTGATATTATTCCAGGCTGCGAAACTTAAATTTTCATAAGACAATGGTAAAGGTGCCAAGGAGAAATATATTACAAATTTGAAGACTGTGAGCAGTGAATTATAAAAATGATCCACCGCCTCTAATATGAATATAATGGCAGTGTCCATGTTTTGAAATGGGAAACCCAAAATATGTGTAGGATGAAAATTAAAGTAATAGAAGGTGTACAACGGCAATATGCAATAAAGATTCCATGAAAATTTCGTTCAGTGGTGTAAGAGTTATTGCAGATAAGAAATGGGTATAATAAAGTGATGATAACAAACAGATGGACGAAAATCTCGATTAATAAATGCCCTCTCGCTTTTCAAGCAGGGGTTATAAAAAAAGGGACTAATGTAGGTAGGCAAGCATTATGGCCCATGCATTTTGTTTTTGCTATTTAATGTCTCTGAATCTTGCAACAAGATTGTTGCAACTCAAAATATCTGAAACAGTTGTATGTATTTGAAATAATGATATTGTTCACTCACTTAACCTCCCGATCAAAGATTTTATTTTACACCATGTTAAACTCCCATGACGCAAATAAGTTAAGTAGAGTCTTTTCTATGCAAATGAGCTAATGAAAATGCATAATGTGTGTAATGTTACCAAAGAAAATGTTAGAGCTTATTTATATATACATAGTTAGTATACACAACCTTGTAAAGCAACTGCACATTATGACGTCATTGATATTTCCTATTCAAGGTAATAAACATATCAACAAAATAACACTGGCGCAAGGGCATTTCCTATATAATTTTTAATAAATAAAGTAAAATATTATGAAAAATGCTGAAGAATGAAAAAAAATAACTGCACAAATCGTAGGCCTTTTCTCAATTGATAAAACTTTTAGGAAACTTACACCGGACAGTGATTTTTTTTACCCTCTTTCAACTTCAAACTTTTAAACAATACATTAACAATTGCACTGTCGACATTTGTGCAGTAATATCATAAATACTTGTAATAGTCTGCGTCTAATAATACTTTGTTTCTGAAGAACAAATTTGAGTATGCCCTTGCGCTGAAGCTATTTTGTTGATGTTCATTGAAAACTTGTGTGGTACAAGACTATGACGTCAAAATATGACGTCATAATGTGCACTACCTGGTTAGGGCATGTCATGAGTACCAAGTCTGTATAATGAACGTTTAGATTTTTCTGTGCAATGATTGTAGCCCTTATGCGTTTTAATTGGTCAATTGCAAAGAAATTTCTATACGTTGCCTTAACTTACTTGCGGAGTTCTTTCAGTACTTTGATTTTGGTAGGGTACTTACTTTGAGCTGGATGGTCTGCAGTCGTCCACACTGTTTGCCGATATACTCGGGATTAGCTGACCACAAGACTTCGTGAGCAGGGATTCTGTAGTAAGCTAATCTCTTGTTTCCACTGATCATCCACACAACCACATCCGGCATACTGTTCTGAGGCTGTAAATATAAACGACAATCGAAGATTAAAAATAAAATCTAGCGATTATTAAAATTATCTTGAACGATCTTACATAAGGCATACTGTTCTGAGGCTGTAAATAGAAACGACAATTGAGGGGTAAAAATCAAATCAAGCGATCAAAAAGTAAAACATCAAATTTCTGAGCATTTGTAGGTAGTTTTACATTACTGCCCTCACCTCTTTGGCAAAATCGCTATGTATTTGTAGCTACAGCAAAACTCGGTTATAACGAAGTCACAAGGACCTATGAAATTACTTCCCTATGTCCGTAATTCGTTATAACCGTATAAGAAATTCATTAAACTTATATAGCTGGGGATCCTATATGACTTCACTATTTCCATAAATTCGCAATACTGTGGTTTCATCAATTTTCGTTGGCATCAATTTTCGTGGATTTTATAAAACATACTTTTTCGAGGATACGTAATTTTGTGGATAAAAGCACTGCCTATACAAATGAATGTCATATTTCGTAATTCAATGAACATTTGAATTCGTGGATCTGCTCAACAACGAAATCCACGAATATTGGTGCTCAACGAATATTGATGAAACCACAGTATCCGTGTTCGTATTAAACTAGTTTTGCTGTAGTTATACATTATTGCCCTCACCTCTATGGCCAAATGTCTGTGTTCTTGTAGCTAGTTATACATTATTGCCCTCACCTCTTTAACCATATTTCGGAGTATTTATAGCTTGCTTTACATTATTGCCCTAACCTCTTTGGCCATATTTCGGAGTAATTGTAGCTAGTTTTACATCATTGCCCTCACCTCTTTGGCCATATTTCGAAGTAATTGTAGCTAGTTTTATATTATTGCCATCACGTCTTTGGCCATATTTCGGAGTAATTGTAGGTAGTTTTACGTTATCGCCCTCACCTCTCTGGCCATGTTTCGGAGTATTTGTAGGAAGTTCTCCACCTCTGCTACGGCTTCGTGGACATCTGTAGCGGACTGTTTCAGCTTGTCCACACTGTTTCCTATGTTCTCTAGCTCAAACTGTCGGTATTCTCGGGTGAGCCTGTCCAACTCATTACTGATATGTTTACCGGGCTTCGGCTCAGGTAGAGGTTTCCTTAATATAGAAATAATTTGTAAATCTTGAGCAATCTCTTAATAGTTTAAAAGCAATGTTAAACATGTTTTCAGTTACATACCTTCATTTTCAAAAGTTTAAGCAAACAATATTTATTTCTACTTTCTCATCAGAAACAGACATTAAAGATGGTTGATCTAGTAAATATTCAGGTCAGCCAATGGTGACCTTTATATTTATTTATCATTTTTATAGGATTAAACCACTCACTTGCAGTCCTGTTCCAGTTGGTCGAGCAGCGAGATCAGAAGATGTGCCAACTCTGGCGTGGGGAGCTTGGCTTTGATCCCAATCTTCACCTGCTCTATGTTTGCCTCCTACAAAGATAGGAAAATTGCACGTCAAATGTCAAATCATATGAAAATTCCACACCATGATCTCAAACCTTATTATTTAGCTTCTACTATAATTTTAGCCTTATCTCTTACCAGAGTGTCTTTAATTTTGAGTCTTACCAGAGTGTCTAGAATTTTGAGTCCTAACCAGAGTGTCTATAGTTAGAGTCTAACCAGAGTGTCTATATTTTTAGCCCTTCTCTAGTGTCTATAATTTTGAGTCCTACCAGAGTGTCTATAATTTTGAGCCCTTACAAGAGTGTTTATAATTTTGAGTCCTTCTAAAGTGTCTATAATTTAAAGTCTTACCAGAGTGTCTATAACTTTGAGTCTTACGAGAGTGTCTATTATTTTGAGTCTCACCAGAGTGTCTATAATATTTGAGCAATTACTAGAGTGTTTTCAATTTTGAGTCTTACCAAAGTGTCTGTAATTTTGAGTCTTAACAGTGTCTATAAATTGAGTCTTACCAGAGTATCTATAGCTTTGAATCCTACCAGATTGTCTATAATTTTTAGCTCTTACCTGAGTGTCTATAATGTTGACCCCTAAATAAGATCTCTCCAATTTTTAGTCTTACCTGAGTGTTTATAATTTTGAGTCCTACCAGAGTGTTTATAATTTTGAGTCCTAAGCAGAGTGCACGTGTCTATAATTTAAATCTAAGCAGAATGTCTATAATTTTTAGCCCTACTCAAGTGTCTATAATTTTGAGCCCTTACCAGAGTGTCTATAATTTTAAGCCTTACCAGCTTGTCTATAATTTGATTCTTACCAGAAAGTTTATAATATTGAGTCTTACCACATTGTTTATAATTTTGAGTCTCACCAGAGTGTCTATTCTTTTGAGCAATTACGAGAGTGTCTATACTTTTGAATCCTACCAGAGTGTCTATACTTTTGAATCCTACCAGAGTGTCTATAATTTTGAGTCTTACCAGAGTTTCTATTATTTTGAGCCCTTTCCAGAAGGTCTATAATTTTAAGCCTTACCAGAGTGTCCATAATTTTGAGTCCCACCAGATTGGCTATACATTTGAATCTCACCAGAGTGTCTATAATTTTGTGTCTTACCATAGTATCTATAATTTTGTGTCTTACCATAGTATCTATAATTTTAAGTCTTACCAGAGTGTCTATAATTATATGTCTAACCATAGTGTCTATAGTTTTGAGTCCTACAAGATTTTCAAAAATTTTGAGTCTTACCAGAGTGTCTATAATTGTGAGCCCTCACCAAAGTGTATATTTATGATAATGTTTTAGCCCTACCAGAGTGTTTATAATTTTGAGTCCTACCAGAGTGTCTATAATTTTGAGTCTTACCATAGTTACTACAATTTTAAGACTAACCAGAATGTCTGTAATTTTGAGTCCAACCAGTGTCTATTATTTTGAGCCCTTACCAGAATGTCTATAAATTTAAGTCTTAGCAAAGTGTTTATAATTTGATTCTTACTAGAGAGTCTATAACTTTGAGTCTCACCAGAGTGTGTTTATTTTTTAGTATTACCAGAGTGTATATAAGTTTGAGCCCTTATCAGAGTGTCTATAATTTTATGTCTTAAGGTAGGATTCTTCTCATATTTCTAATATTTAAAAATTAATGAAATTTTCACAGAATCAAGAGGATAATATCAGTAAGTGATAGTATAAGGGAAATTAAATTTGACCGTTTTATATTAGGGACAAGGTCAGGTAAATGACATTATCTTTTTCTTTGACATTAAGGATGAAACGGAAAGCTGTTTCCTATATGTTTATTATAGCGAAAGTTATCGCCCTTGTTATTATTAATTACCTATTATATACATCGAAAATAAATACTAAATAAGTGTTGAATTCCATTTCGAGTTATCAGTTATAATTATTGTATTTTACTTTAGTTGGGATACTAAAAGTTTGTTGATTGGAAGCTTGATTAGTATTTTAATTAGTTTGTAAATAAATAATCACTATGTATTATAGATGGTACTTGAGATATATAGGATTTTTACTGGCGAGGATTGCGAGGTCGGTTCTAGAGGTAAAACTTGACAAACCTGTGTGTGTACATATAAGTGTGCGGACTTCCCTGCTTATATTGTACTGTTTTAAGTAGTAAGTGTGTGGTCATCCCTGCTTATTACTTGACAGGGTGTGTGGTCATCCCTGCTCTGTGATTGGCATCTTAAAGTAGCAAGTGTGCTGACATCCCTGCTTGTTGCTGCGCAAGATCAGGTATGTGGACATCCCTGCCTGCGTCTTGTGGTAGAGCATTGGTGTGCGGACATCCCTGCCAGTGTCTCTAGACTAGAACCGTGTTAGTGTCAAGTGTGTGGTCATCCCTGCTTGTCACTGCGCAAGGGCAAGTGTGCGGTCATCCCTGCTTGTCTCTTGTGGAAGTGCGCTGGTGTGTGGACTTCCCTGCTAGTGTCACTTGTTCGCTACCAGTAAAGACCTTATATAACGCAGTACCAAGCGATTAAGACTGCGCATTGTACATATTTGCAGCATCTCAAGGCTATCCGTTTTTATCACGGGTACGAGCCTGCGGGGGTTCACAGGAAGTGACTTCCCTTGCACGTTACATAAAATTTGGTGGCAGCGGTGGGATACCTTGAGATAGCTGCGCGATGGAAGACGTAGACAAAGAATTATCTCTGATAGAAGAGAAGCTCGCGGAGCTGAAGGAGGAAAGTATCAGGAATAGAAGCTTCAAGTCGTCGACTCCAGTGACCCCACGTATTAAAGACAAAGTAAGAGACTCGGGTGTTGGTGAATCTTGCATCTCCGGAGAATTGCGGCAGACAGATGAAAAGTCATTAACGCATGAGTATGATGGTGCGCTAGCCCAGCACACACCTTTCCCTGAAGAAAAGCCTACAGGACAATCTCTCAGGGACATGTTTACAGAAGCCGGAGCAAGACCTCGCAATTACAGTTTTCCCGAGTCTCCTCCAAAATTCGATAGAGAAGCGGCGCAAATCGACAAACATTGGCGTAGATTTCGTTCTGAAGAACTTCACAGAGACGATCAAGACGATTCTATTCTCCCTGGAATAACGAGAAGAAGATCGAGAGTTAGATTTGCAAGTCCTCATAGCGGAGACGACGACCTAGCAGAGTTTCCAGCGCAAAGACAAATGATAAAGCCAGCAACGTATGATGGCAGTGGTCCCTGGATGGATTATCATGCGCATTTTGATGCATGTGCAGAAATCAGTGGATGGAAATATCCTCAGAAAGGATCGTATTTAGCAGTTTCTCTTCGGGGAAGTGCACAAGGAGTGTTAGGTAACATGCCAAAGGGGACAAAGCCCGATTATCAGACACTTGTAAAAGCCCTTGAAGACAGATTTGCACCCCCAAGTCAAACGGAGCTATACAGGGTGCAGATGCGTGAGCGGCGCCAAAGAGCTGGAGAATCTCTTCCGGAGTTAGGACAGGCCATTCGCAGACTTGCCAACTTAGCTTTCCCCACTGCATCAGAGGAGATTCGGTAAACGCTCTCAAAAGACCAATTTCTGGACGCATTGGTCGACTCGGAAATGCGCATCCGCATAAAGCAGGCGCGTCCTAAACATCTTAATGAAGCTATGCAATTGGCTGTCGAATTAGAAGCTTACAACAGAGCTGAGAAAAAGAACTATGCGCGCCCAACTACTGTTGAATCCGCTGAAGGAAGAACTGTATCAATGCTTGAGGAATTAAGCGCAAAGTTTGAATCTATGCAGAAAGAACTCAGAGAAATGAAAACAGAGCGCAATGAAAGTTTACAGCAATCCCGACCATGGAAAGCAAACCAAACATCGGGGACACAGAAAAGGTGTTTCTTTTGCCGTAAGCCGGGACATTTACGCAAGGATTGTAGAGCTTTTCAGGCACAAAGGAAAGCTAAACCTCCATTTACGTCCTTTACTAGAGACCGCCCAGAACGTGATGGTGCAAAAGCAAAAGACGCCAAGCCTTCCAGCAGAAGTGTCAAAACCGGTGAGAAAGCTTCCATAGGGGCAAGTCCAGTCGGAATGGACGCTGGCCTGTTTCTTGAAATGGACGTCTGTGGCGTAACGGCGAAGCTATTGGTAGACACAGGTGCGACAGTCAGTCTAATATCTACCGAACTGATGAGTAGGATTCCAGGAGAGGACCGACCTAGGCTTGACTCATTCAGTCGTGATATACTGGATGCTGGTGGCAACTGTATTCAGATAAGCGGTAAGGGAACCTTTCCAACTCAGATAAGGGGATTCTCTTGCAAAATGGATGCTGTCGTTGCAGACCTGAGCAATGATGGAATTATGGGCCTTGATTTTCTGGAAGAAAATGGATGCACAATTGATGTGTCAAAGAAGAAAATGGGCATCAAGGGAAAACAATACAGTCTGATAAAAGAAGGAAGTTATGGGTGCTATCGCATCGTAGCACAGCTGAATACTGTGACACTTCCTACAAATGAAGAGGTTATCATAAAGGGGAGAGTGTGTGCGCTGGAGGGAAAAAGCATTTCGATGATTCACGGTTTGGTGGAACCAAATGAAAAGTTTGTGTCGACAGGTACTCTTGTAGGAAAGACCTTTGTCAAAGAAAATACAGTTGTACCTATTCGAATGCTGAACATAGGACCAGAAAGTCGAACCATTTACAATGGCACTCGCACAGCGGAAATGTCATCCGTCTGCGCAGTACAGGCTGAGAAGAAGACAAAGAATTACTCTGCGTTGCCTGAACAACTTTCAGATCTATTGAAGCGCAGTAGCACCGATCTAACAGAGGGCCAGATAAGTAAAGTGAGAGAATTTTTGCAACAGCACTCTCATGCATTTGCACTCAGTAGCTTTGAGTTAGGTACGACAAACGTAGTTGAGCATGGGATAGATGCTCACCCGATAAAATAACCTTTGCGACGTGTCCCTTTCCATGCTGCCGAAGAAATAGACAAGCATGTTAATGATATGCTGGAAAATGGAGTTATAGAGCGCTCTCCTCTATCCCCCGGGCAGCTGGTGTTGTCTTACTTCGAAAGAGGAATGGCAGTACTCGCTTCCGTGTGACTACCGAAAACTGAGAAAGACGAAGACGCAGCTAATACAGAGGAGGTGCTTGTGGCGGAAGAAGAAAATCAAGGGAATGAGATTCAAAGACTTACTGAAGATGAAGTTGAAATTAAGCGCACGCGCCATCCTCCCCGCTGGCATGAAGATTACGTTTTGTAAACAGTGTTATAAGAAGCACCTAGGGCCAGCAAGCGAACCTGATTGGTTCTATTTACCATTAGGTTAAACAAAATTTTGCATTTTGTTTTGCGTAATGGTAAATGTGAGGGGTTGCATTGTAATTGCTATTCTGTTGGGTAAAATATTTCTATATGTTTTATTTTGCAGAATGGGGAATACAATGATTGTTTCTGTAAATATTGTAAATTTTTTAAATGCAGTATATGTTTTTCTTATTCGAGGACGCATAAAGCTGGGGTGGGGGTGATGAAACGGAAAGCTGTTTCCTATATGTTTATTATAGCGAAAGTTATCGCCCTTGTTATTATTAATTACTTATTATATACATCGAAAATAAATACTTAATAAGTGTTGAATTCCATTTCGAGTTATCAGTTATAATCATTGTATTTTACTTTAGTTGGGTTACTAAAGGTTTGTCAATTGGAAGCTTGATTAGTATTTTAATTAGTTTGTAAATAAATAATCACTATGTATTATAGATGGTGTTAGGATATATAGGATTTTTACTGGCGAGGATTGCGAAGGTCGGTTCTAGAGGTAAAACTTGATAAACCTGTGTGTGTACATATAAGTGTGCGGACTTCCCTGCTTATATTGTACTGTTTTAAGTAGTAAGTGTGTGGTCATCCCTGCTTATTACTTGACAGAGTATGTGGTCATCCCTGCTCTGTGATTGGCATCTTAAAGTAGCAAGTGTGCGGACATCCCTGCTTGTTGCTGCGCAAGATCAGGTGTGTGGACATCCCTGCCTGCGTCTTGTGGTAGAGCATTGGTGTGCGGACATCCCTGCCAGTGTCTCTAGACTAGAACCGTGTTAGTGTCAAGTGTGTGGTCATCCCTGCTTGTCACTGCGCAAGGGCAAGTGTGCGGTCATCCCTGCTTGTCTCTTGTGGAAGTGCGCTGGTGTGTGGACTTCCCTGCCAGTGTCACTTGTTCGCTACCAGTAAAGACCTTATATAACGCAGTACCAAGCGATTAAGACTGCGCATTGTACATATTTGCAGCATCTCAAGGCTATCCATTTTTATCACGGGTACGAGCCTGCGGGGGTTCACAGGAAGTGACCTCGCTTGCACGTTACAAGAATAATAAAAAAATAACTTGGCAATCATGTGATATCTACTTCTATTTCAAAAGTTTAATGATTGTTCTTTTTGCATAAAAACATATTACTATATCGGGTCTATACCATGATATTACCAAATTTACATAAATAATTAAACTTAACTGGATATTGGTTAATCCGAATTTCCTCTGTTTTTCTTTATTTTTTAGGATATATTAGTTATTTTCATATGCTTCCTATATTTAACTCTTTCTTATTTTCACATATAATTAAGTAGTCTTATAAATGTATAAAATGATACAAAAACAAAAAGTTTTGCTCGTTTACTAAGAGAGAAAAAAAATACTTTTTATGGATTTTTGGCTCAAATCTGCACTTTGATAGGAAGCGTTTAAATGCTAACAAAGTTCTAGTTTATTTGAAAAATCATATTTATTTGATATATTTTTAAAGTTTAGTCCCTCATTATTAATTTAACTTACATTTGAAAATTTCTCCAAGTCTTCGATTGTGTAAAAATTATAACTAAATTCAATGTTCTATTATAATTTTGAAAGACAGAAAAGAAGATATTTTCATACGCCACCATTCCGCCAAAAATATAGTCCCTATTGGTTTTCAAACACAGTTTACCATTTCTATTTAAAGTTGTACAATTGTGATGAGGAAAAAAAAATATAGTCTTTTATATTCCTTACACCTCAATATATAAGACATGTAAGAAAATATACTTTGAATGTTTCATCTCGTCAGAAACCAGAGAAGAATCCTACCTTAACAGAGTGTCTATAAATTAACTTTATAATTTTGAGTCCTACCAGAGTTTCTATAATTTAAGTCTTAACAGAGTGTCTATAATTGTGAGCCATTACCAGAGTGTCAATAATTTTAAGTCTTACGAGAGTGTCTTAAATTTTTGAGTAATTACCAGAGTGTCTATAATTTTTATCATTACCAGAGTGACTATTATTTTGAGTCTTACCAGAGTGTCTATAACTTCGAGTCTTACGAGAGTGTCTATATCTCTGAGTCTTACCAGAGTGTCTATAATTTTGAGAAATTACCAGAGTATTCATAATTTTAAGTCTTACTATGGTGTTTACAATTTTGAGTCCTTAATTGAGTGTCTATATTTTAAGCCCTACCAGAATGTGTACAAGTTTGAGCCTTTTCAGAATGTATATTAAGCAATAACCAGAGTGTCTATAATTTTGAGTCTTAGCAGTATGTCTATAATTTTTTTAACCCTTAGCAGTGTGTCTATAATTTAAGTTTTACCAGAGTGTCAATGCTTTTGAGCCCTTACTTGAGTTTCAATAATTTTGACCCTAACAGAAGTGTCTATAATTTTGAGTTCATACCAGAGTATGTATGTGCTTGATTCCTACCAGAGTGTCTATAATTTTGAGCATTAACAGAGTGTCTATATTTTTTGAGTCCTTACCAGAGTTTTTTTGATTTTGAGTCTTACCAGAGTGTCTATAATTCTGAGCATTAGGTTGAGCCCCTCCAGCCTGAAGCTGATATCCTCCCAGGATGATTCCACGACAATACACGGTTTGGTCCCAGCCCAAGGCAGGAAGTAGTAATGACAGCCGTCAAACACCGCGTTTGTCGGCTGAGTTGTGGAAGCACACTGAGCTGTGTTTTCATCCACTTTGTTTCCATAGTTACCTGAGTAAATTGAGTGAAAATTTAATTTTCCAATCATTTCTTAGTAAATGTTTTTAAAAATCTCAATAATAAATTAGTTATCCAAAATAAGTAAAAACATAACCATTATCAGTTTAAGCAACAAGGCAATTCAGTTCTATGATAATCATGTCTATTGTAAAATATAAAGGTCATAAATGCAATGTATACACATAACATTTTACATAAATACTCAAAATGTGAACACTACTCACCAATGCTGATTTCAAACTCCACAGGAGCATCAATAGCACTGACCATGGTAGCATTGAGGAAGGCAGCATGGAGTTTATAGCTCCTACGCCGCATGAATTTCTGGAAGAGAAGCATGAGTTATAAATTATCTTCCATTAAAGCTAATAGTTAATTCCAGTTCATTACACACTGTATGACAATCAAGGCTGTCTAGATACACAGAAAACTAGTATTTCATTTTCAAGTACTGTAAAATCACATATTTTCGTGGGGTCAAATTTTCGTGATTTGAGAAAAATATCTGTTCGTGGGGATTTGATTTCGTGGATGAAGAATTAATGAGTACTTATGTTTGTAACATTTTACATTTCGTGGAGGACGTGAATTTTTGGGTCTCGTTATACTTCGAAAACAATAGAAATAAAACCCCCACGAAAATTTGTGATTTCACAGTAGGGATTTAGTCTATTTAACTCAAATGTAAACTCATAAAAAGAAACAAAAGATAGAATCAATGACCTTAAATAGCATGGGTAAGTCAAAAGTGAGATGGAAGTTATCTACAGTAACTAATCTTTTTGTCTATGAATTTTTACATTAAAAATGTATTCCTTAGATACCTCAGTCTTTTGAGAGTCTTATCAGGTTCAAGATAAGAAGGATTGACTGTATATTGCTTTAAGGTATTCTATGACACGTAAATTTCCTGGTATTCTACTAATCTTACCTGGACCCTAAGGAGGTCATCATTGTTAATATCTTCCACGGGTATCTCAGGTAGCTCTCCCAGGAGAGTCTGAATCTCAACTAACGCTCTCCCTCTGTAAGCCACACCTTCTCCCTGTCAATCAAGTCAATCAGCCAATCAAAATCAACTACAATCCCAACTAATCAAATCAATAAGCCAATCAAAATCAACTACAATCCATGTCAATCAAATCAATCAGCAAATCAAAATCAACTACAATCATTAATATATTATAGTTTTCACAGGATCTGTCTCAACAAATACAACATAGAAGAGAATGCTTTGTACCCTTTGAAACAATCAAAATTCATGTAGAACTGCACATTTATTTTTGTGATACTTATTGAGTATCCCCTTTTCAATACATTTCAGTCAAGCTATGATTTTACAATTCATAATGAATTAATTAGTTATTACCTTTCCCAGATTAAGATCATCATATTCATCAGGTAAATCAGAATATTCATGGGGGGATCCATAAAAATTCACAAAGCTGGGGCCAAAGGTGGGTAGAAAGCCTAAAATTACATCAAAAGCATGAATGAATCATCCAAGATCACTGCGTAATATGAAAATATCATTAATTATGAATTTCAACTTTATATTTTCATAAAAGAGTGGATTTAAATTAAATTTATAACTAGAAATGATCATTTCTAAACTATGTCTTTTATTTCATTTTTTTTTAAATTACAGTTTAAGTGCTAAATTTAAAGATTTCAAAGCAATGTCAAAATTATATGAAATAAACACGACATGAATTAATATCTGAATGATAAATGTATTAAGTTCCCAAACAACAAAACCTAAATACATAAACATTTGCATTCGCCACCAAATAAAAGTTATAGTTATAAGCAGCATCACATGCAGACAATAGCAAGGCATCACAGGCAACTTGTCCATGATCTAGAACACAGGGAGGTGTTTTATATGAGATAATGGCAAACATAGGGAGCAGTTGTTATTTTAGGTTGGATATAAAGATAAAGATCACAAATCTGTCAAACATTTAGTTACCAAAAATACCAAGTATAAGCCTGTTTGAATTCAATCATTCTATTTTTACAAATCACAAAAAACATCCCCTGAAATCCACACACATTGCTATGTTATACATGTAAGTATTGCTTATATGTCAATATTACAGAAAGCAATAATGGGAATAATAGTTTTACTATCGAATTGGGCTGAAAGAGTACAATAAAGTTATTATTAGTCTAGTTAAACTACAAGATTCTGAATACATGTACATGGTAAAATGAATGTGTAGGAATACAAAAAAAAATATTTAAAAAAAATGAATGTTATATTATGATACAATATGACCCCATTCAAACATAATAATTTGATTATTCACAAATTAGGCATTACTGCTGAATTTTCATTTTACAAAAATAACATAATTTTCCCCCTAAATAAACAGCATTTTTTAACATTAAAAATTTACAGAAACTACATACTTTTTTCTCAAAGTTCTGGAGTATCTCAGTAACCGACAAAAACATGTGCACATGCACCTCTAATTAGGAAAAAATCAAAAATGTGCACACCTCTACTCAGGGTGAAATACCTGATGGGTGTACACCTCTAATAAGGGTGAAATGACTAAAATGTAATTAAAAACAAAAATTTATTTCAATCAGAAAAATTCCAGTAAATAAACAATTGCCATCTTCGGGACCGTAACGGCCAAGGAAAGGAGAGAACAGAAACTTCTAATTAAAAATAGAAATGGTGATTAAAATTTCATAAAAATATCAGACCCTTGAAGGCAAAAATAAATTTTAAGTAAAGATATTAGTCAACATTTACATATTATACTATCAAATCAATATTATATAAAATAAAATGATAATAAATGTGTATCTAAGAGATATTCATTTTGTTAAATTGAAAAAAAAACATAAATGAATAAGATAGAAAGTGCAGGAGAGAATTAAGATATCAGATTTGATGAGTAGGATTGAAGGATATAAATAAAAGAAACAAAAGGACTAAGGGTCTCAATGATCACCTGAGTTTCATAATTGGGAGGGGGGGGGCTATTTCATGTTAACTGGTATGTCTATACAATCATTTATTCTCCCTTACTGTATAGGAGTTATGGCTTCATTGGAAAATCACCGGTCATGGTAGCCTAATGGTAGAACGTTCGCTTCGTGTTCGGGAGGCCCGGGTTCGATTCTCGTTCACAGCGCTTCGTAGACATAAACATAGGTAGTGACTGTTCCTTCGCCAAGCGCTCGGCACTAGAAGTGAATGTCACGAATCTTTCGGATATGACCTTAAGAACGTAGGTCCCGTGTCACGGTAGGCGTTGACACGATAAAAAACCCTCACTGCTCAATGGCCCTGAGTGCCGAGTATAGGTCTAAATTTGAAGCCCTTCACCGGCATCGGTGACGTCTCCATATGAGTGAAAAATTCTCAAGAGGGACGTTAAACAATATTCAATCAATCAATCATTGGGAAATCCATATATATTTTACATGCTTTTAAATACATGGTGATGCTACACAAGTAGCCATGTATATAGATTTTGTTTTGTTCATTTCATTTTATATTTTTTATAGAATTTGTTTCAACTATGAGAACTATCCCTGCCTCCTTGGACTACTATTTAACAGAATAAAAAGTTGAATACGGATTATTTAACAAATTAAATTCAAAAAGCTATGACCTTTCAGTTACATGATTTATATTTCTCAATACAATATGACCTTGATCTATGAAATATGACCTTATTTTTAGGTCACGGACAACAAAATTTTTAATTCCAAACCCATTACATTCCATAGTTGGGGAGTAGTGTTTAAACATAGAAACCCATTCTATCCTTATCCAAACTCTGTCTAAGACTTATACTTAATTTTAAAAAAAGAAAATATTGAGTAGATGTTAATATATAAGTTTTTATAAATCTAAGATCCCCCCCAAAGTGTGTGAAAAATACTTTTATAAACGACATCTATTGATGAATATGAAATAAACAATTAACATGTTACTTGTAATAAAAACATAAATGTTTTTTTGTTGTTTCTGTACAGAATTTTTGCATTAACCATTGTTAATGGTACTGGAACCCACCATATTATATGATGTTAGTAACATTTACTGTCTGTTAACTATTGGTTAGAGGTTAACAGCTATAGGTGCAGTCATTATTTAGGGTTAAGTTACAAATAGTGGGAAAATAGAATAAGTAATATTATTATAATTGACATTTTTAGTTTAATTTCTTTTTTACACAGCAAAAAAAATTCAGTCAGATAAACCATTTCCAGCTATACAAATTTTGTTTGCCAATAGTTCAACCGATGAGTTTTCCTTTTAATTGGAATAATTCTAAACTAGATGCTGTCATAAGACAGTAATACCCGTACTGAGGTGTTTGCCTCTAAATATACACTCCTACATATTGGGCTTTAATTCCAAGTAAAAAGTCCAAATAATTTACACGGAACATGTATTCGTCAAATTGAGTATGAAATTCTCAGACCCTGTGACAATGTAACTTAATTGATTCAGATCCTCATTACCAGTTTGAATTTAATTAATGATCTTAATTAGCTTTTTATAAATGTTTTACTCATAATAGGACCTTTTTAAATTTACTCATGCCCCCTCTCCCGGCCCACGACATCACAAACACGTGGCACGTACGTTTCTTTGTTTTTTTTTTTTTTTTTTTGAATAAGCTAGATGGATAAGTTTTGTTAAAACATCGTTTGTTATGAATTAATTTAGATTCTGTTCTTGTACTATACATGTTTTCATGGAAACACCATTTGGAAAAATTCTACATCACACGCAGATGGATAAAACGTATGCTCAACTAGGACCTCGGTTCTCCTGCAAATAGTTCGCCATTTTGCGTAGTGATAAAACATTTAGGAACTCATCAGGCATTAAAGGCACAAAAATAAATTCATCGATATCAATACGGACACCTCGGGTCACCTTATATATTAATTGAATTTTATATAATAGGCAGTTTTCTTTGTCTTACTCCAAAATAATCATATTTATAACTTTAAACACATCTGCTTTCTAAAATATATATTAGCAGAAATGTGAAAGTAATTAGGGGCTCCAGAGGTAACTTTATATTATACTAGTACTGTACATGAGAAGGGAGACCAGTGGTCACCTCACCCTATTGTTATATTGTAAATCATTAGAGGGATCATAGGTCACCTTTCTTTTTAATTAAATAGGTGGCCAAAAGTTACCTTTAATTGCACATAATAAAGGGGACCTAAGGGCACCTTATATTGTACATCAGTAGGGAGACCAGAGATCACCATATATTGTACATCAGTAAAGGGACAAGTGGTCACCTTATATTTTAAAGTATATCAGTAGGGGACTAGAGGTCACCTTATATTGTACGTCACTTATATTGTACATCGGTAGGGGGACCAGGGGTCACCTTGTATTGAACATCAATAAGGAGACTAGAGGTCACTTTATACATGCATTGAACATCAGTAGGGGTACCAGAGGTCACCTTCTAATGTTCAGCATTTGGAGGACCAGTGGACACCTTATATTGTACATCAATAAGGAGACCAGAGGTCACCTAATAATGTTCATCAGTAAGGGGACCAGAGGACACCTTATATTGAACATCAATAAGAGGACTTGATATCACCTTATATTGTACATCAATAAGGAAACTAGAGGTTACTTATTTAGAGCATCAATAAGGAGACATCAGCAGAGGGACCAAAGGTCACCTTATATTGTACATCGGTAGGGGGACTAGAGGTCACCTTATATTGATTATTGTACATCTATAAAGAGATCAGAAGTCACCTTATACATGTATTGTTCATCAGTGGGGGACATGGACACCTAATATTGAGCATCAAGAAGTAGAGGTCACCTTATATTGTACATCAGTTGGGGGACAATTGGTCACATTATATTTTAAAGTACATCAGCAGGGGACCAGAGGACACCTTATATTGAACATTAATAAGGAGACCAGAAGTCATCTTATAAATACATGACTTTGTATTGAACATCAGTAGGGAGACCAGAGGACACCTTATATAGTACATCAATAAGAGGACTAGATATCACCATATATTGTACATCAATAAGGAAAGTAGAGGTCACTTTATATTGAGCATTAATAAGGAAACTAGAGGTCACTTTATATTGAGCATCAATAAGGAGACATCAGCAGAGGGACCTTATATTGTTCTTCAGTAGGGGGACCAGAGGACACCTTATATTGAACATCAGTAGGGGGCCCAGATGCCACCTTATATTGTACATCAGTAGGGGGACCAAAGGACACCTTTTATTGAACACCAATAAGGAGACCAGAGGTCACCTTGCATTATACATGCATTGTACATCAATAAGGAGACCAAAGGTCAACATATATTGTTTATCAGTAGGGGGACTAGAGGACACTTTATACAATAAGTAGACCAGAGGTCACCTTATACATGCGTTGTACATCAGTAGGGTGACCAGAGGGCACCTTATATTATTCATCATTAGGAGAACCAGAGGAACCTCATATTTTACATCAATAA